TTCTACTAAAAATGAATTTCGTTAAAATTGCCGGAATTATAGAAGTTGCCTCAAGCTAACGGATCTTAAATCCTGTTTCATTAGGGCTTTCTCAACTTTTGTTCCTTGTTTTCACGAATGTACAAAAGTTTCCCAAAAGGTAATCCAATAATAATAATAATAATAATAATAATAATAATGTATTTATTTCTCCACACAATGCATGACAACAAGATACAATATCATAAGTTGGTACAGCTTCAGTAAAAAATTTAATCAGGTAATTGTGCGGAGCTGGTGTCTATTATAGGTGTAAAAAACCTGTATTACAGATCACCAGGTCCTCACCCCACGGACAAGCATAGTTAACAAAGCTGGAATAATTGTACATAAAATAATTTGTCTTAAGTAACTGTCCAGGTATAAGAAGATTGAATAAAGCGAGTTCTACATGTTTGTGTGTGTGTGTGTTCGTGTTTGTGTGTGTGTGTTCGTGTGTGTGTGTGTGTGTGTGTGTGTGTGTGTGTGTGGATGAGTGTGTGTGTGTGTGTGTGTGTGTGTGTGTGTGTGTGTGTGTGTGTGTAATCCAATGAACTTCTTAAAGCATTGTCTAAGACAATAGTCAGTGCCATGTTTATTAATGACGATATTAAACATTACAAAGAGTGAGAATATTAAAAAGTGAATATGAAAATTGAAAAAGCATTAAGTTCCATCATAGTGTATTAGGAATAAAGAGAACTTTTTTCTTTGCTTATGCCAACAGAATAAGGAAAGTCTGGTGGCAACTATGACGAGGCATGATAATTTGGACTTCGAGAGATTGACTTAGAGATGACAGCAAAACCCCTCAGAGCATACATTTACATTTTTAAATTTCAATGCTTCGCTGTGGTAACGATTGCTTTAGATGTCGAGAGTACACATTTTATGGGATAAAGGTCCTTTAGAATCGAATTCCTGTTGACTTTACAAGCGCCAATTTTGCTCGAAATGTCGTAGAATATTCATGAAAGTGTTTTCATTCTCATGCAGGGTTTTTCCCGTTTAACTATTCATAGCGGGGGTGTCGAAGCCATATTTCGGATTCAATCAATTAACGACATTCTTTCATTCAATTATCTATAACAAAATTTAATTACTTCTGGTTTTCGTTTCTATTAGCACTTAAATACTCAAAATTATTTCAATTTTAACGAAGTATCCTTTAAAGAATCAGTCTACGTCAAAACGTGTTTTTAAATATTAATATAAATAACAATATTAAAACTAGATTTTAACTGATGTTATAACATATTATTATATCATTACCTCGATACTCAAGAAAACAATATTTTGTGAGAAAAGATTGACAAGGTAATCTTAAAGACAATTTTCAAGAATAACAATACTAAAAGTCTTTTATTATAATCATTTGTAACCATTACTCAACGAAATACTCTCATCTTTTTAATCTGATTACGAAAACCAGTGGAGTACGCTACTTTGCTGTTAGACATAAAAGGAATTTAATGAGAAATGGCTTTTCATAAAAAAATTAAGGGCAAAAAATGTGTTGGTATGAAGTGAAACTTCAAATTTGTTATTTAACGGGACTTAAGAATTTTAGTTCTCATAAGAACTAACATTCACTTGCATGAGAAGACAATATGCCTAGTATAAAAAAGGAATGCCTGTTAACAACGATGGCCTATTGGCTGAGGATGTTGACCCGTGTTCACGATCTGGGTTTGAGTGCGGTCTAAAATCACATTATAATGATCTTGTCAAGCTCACTTCTTAATAGGAGATGGAGCTTGTATTATGGCACTTGTATAAAAGCGGTAGTCTCTAAATTAGACCTTATAGTATGAACAAAATGTTAGTTCTTTCGAAACGCTACCTTACATGTGTACTTTTTGAAAGGGACGCGAGCAGACTAGATACAGTTGTGACGTAAAGAATTCTCATTGGATGAAATATTGAACGAAGTGCCACTGATTTATTTGGATCCGATATTGGATTTTCTTCTCACACTTCAGTATCCTGACAGTTTCTGGATTTATGTATTCGATCATGTTATCCTTATTCTTTTGAATATACGAATGAATTCCCATAACTTTTTTTGCTCCCTTAAATTTCTACCATTTTATAGAATTCATCTTTTAAATTTTGAATACTTTTGACGTCTTTACAAGCTTTTATTTAACTTGCAATGTATGTATGTTTGTCTGCAACCGAATTTTATGTCAGTTATATTTAACTGATTGATCATTTATATCGAACATTTGCTCATATTTATTCAAATATGAACTGAAATTGTTTGTTCGAACATTTAATTAACCGTATATTTTAATATCTATACGAATTTTAAGAAAATTGATATTTTAAATGCAATTAATTTTGTAGTTAATGTTCATTGGAGATTAAAGACTTTTTTTTTGATATTTGATGGGTAAGGACTGAATTTTAAATCCAGGTGTACATTTCTCCGACATGTATTAAGAAGTTGCCTTCTCTTCGAATGAAGAAAAGGATAAATATCGAATATCTTGCGCGCAATAAACACAGTCTCACAGTTTTGCCAAATCTACAGGGGGCAGGCGTAAATAGCAGTTAGTTACTTTCTAAGACCTAACAAAGCTCAGCCAAAAAATGACATGTAGATAGAAATAGACAACGAAAGAGACAGAGATAGATATACATACACATGATTACGTCTAGGGCACGAAACGTTAGTATCTCATCAGTATAGACTATATTTGCATTTAATGCTTCATTATGCAATCAACGATCCGCCGCTATCGAAGCGATAATCTTAGGGCCGTGTTTGTTATGTCTTGTAATTTCATCCGATAGCGAAACCCAGCCGCAGTTAACTTTATCTAATGGCGCACTACTTTTCTAAGTTAAATTGAAGTGAATTAAATCGGAGCTTGTTTAAAAAATTTCATGATGTTCCATAAACGTATGTCTCCGAATCGTTTTTAAATTAATGGACTTTTTTAATCTTTAGATGCTTTAAACCATTATAAGAATTGATTAAAATAAAAGTAAACAACTAGTAGAAGGGTTCTACCGCTTGTTGATTTATTAGACGTAGGCAAACGGCCTGTAACCAGTAAGGTATTAGGAATGCCATTGATCAAATGATGAAGTTTAAAAGGAGATCAAGGCATTTTTGACGAGTGAAAGATGTGTATCAAAAATGCCCTTATTTGACAGGATAATGCCATCCATTAAAAAAGGGCTATTTTAAAAAAAAATACAACATATACTGTGAGCGGATATTTAATTATAGTTTTGTAAAATAAGCTCATAGCTTGTGGGTACGAGTTCTTTCTTACAAATGCAATAAATAACAACCCTTTAACTTAAAAAAAAGGGTTTCTGTTAGGTAGAAAAAAAAAACATGTTAAATTTAAAAGATCCGCGTCAAACTGCCGCATCGCGTGTTACGACAATGCAGCGGCTGAAAAATGAGCTGAAAGAATGATTTTTAAACACGCCAACGATAATGGGTTTTCCGAACTTGTATCTCTGATAAGCTCCGCAATGTGCCGAATTTTAAGCTGTAGAGATCAGGTGAATAACGTTCAAACTTTACTACCAACGAATGAAGTAATATGCAGGAGCAATATATGGAAACTAGTTGACGCGTGCTAAATTTCGCATAGTGCCGTGATCTGTTACCGAATAGTAATATAATTATCCTTTCTTTTGTTTTTTTAAAAAACATTGCCATTACTGTAGGATAATTTCATCCGGTGCAAAGACGTTCTGCAAACATAAATTTATTAAATTTCAAACATGCTTATAAAAATAAAATAAAAAGTATTCAGGTTTTCGTTTACTTTTTCAACCATCGTAACCGATACATCATTTTATTATTTTTGGTGGATATTCTAATTATAAACTTTTTGAAATCTTTGCTGTCAATATTGTAATAACTATAATATTTGTTTTAATTTTCCAAAAGCCACGAGCGCTTTATAACATGCACAAGAAACCGGAACCAGCGAACGTTCGCACTAGGAAAACTCAAATAGGGATAAAGTAGTATAAAATTATTTTATATATGTTAAATAGTTAATTCTATATGTTAAATAGTTTTATGTTAAAATTACTGCAATTAACTGCTTACTACAGTCTCTGATTGCACATGTAAGTAAAACTTGGGTATATCAGCACAACATTTTATGCATAAAAAAAATACATAAAATTATTAAAATATCGATAAAGCCAAGTTCAACTGTGGCATTATGTCGTTACTAACAAAAAACTGAAATATTTGCATTTAAATAATATATGGTATGTCTGTAAATGTCAGAAAACATGTAACTGATGAAACTTTACATAGTTCATACACTAAGCGCGAACATCATCCAACAAAGACTACGTTCTGCACAAATAAAGAGATAAAACCTCACACGTGATTTGTAGAGGTTACAAATCACAAAGTTCTTACCTATGCACGAAAATCCTAGATATGCGTGAATAGGATTTTATATACATATTATTCAGTTTAATTTAATCCTTGTTTTCTGTACATCATTTATGAAAAAAATTATTTTCCATTAGTATAGTTAAGTAACAGCCTATGTACTAAGGACAGTCCACCACGGTATCCCACTGTGGATAGGCAGACTAACTTAACATAAGTCGGAAACATTTTTTTTGAAAATATGCAGGTTTCCTCCCTTTGATTTTATCCACCGAGCACATGATTAGTCAGCACTTAAAATTATTATATAAGGATTTGAACTAATTTTGCTTGAGTATACAAAATTGGAAGCGAGCGCCCGGACACGGAGCAATTAACAAAAAAAATTAGGTATGTAAAATTTGAAGTTTAAAAAATACAATGTAAAATGTATTGCAATGCAGGCAACAGACGACGCAAAGATCTCTGCTTCTCTTTTACTGAATATACAACGGCAAGGCTGTCACCTAAATGAATCACGCCAAACGTGTAAAGCATTTGCCATTTCCGCCCCCTTATGGAAAAAGTAACATGAATGCTTGTTAGTTTGTCGTCTCACCGTTACACCTCTGCGGGTCAATCTGAGCGTGCAGAATGGAGAAGCCCGGGGCGATGATGGCCGGCAGGGTCCTTGAGCGCAGCAGAGGGGGGGGCCCACGCCTTCCGCCTCCCCCCAGAGCCTCCGCCGCCGCCGCCGCTGCCGCCGCCGCACTGCGAACAACCACACGTGCATTACACAATCATCTTGCAACTATCAAAAGAAGTCTTACGCCCATCGTTCATTCACACAAATCGATACACATAGAATCTGGTTTACACACACAGACATCTTTCAAACTTCCTTACACAAATCTTTCACCCATCCTTCATCCACACCAATAAACATAGAAACTGGTTTATACACATCCGTCAAAAGCTGTCTTGTACAATCACCTCTCTTCACTTCATAAATATCCAGCCGTTTTCTTCACTCATTCTTTCCACGCGTTCCACCTAAGCATTCCTTAATCCATTTTCCTTGCAACATTTTCTGTATCTCTGTTTAACCTTTTAAGTCAGTAAAGACAGTTTCATAATAACTATCGAATAACAATACTAAAAGGTCATCGACGTCCTGTACATACAGGTCACCTGGTGGGTTCGGCACAACATATAAATCGGCTTTGGTTAGATTTTTTTACAACCGACCGCCTCCCTAACGTCAACCGTCCTTGGGAACACACCGAGATTCGGAACCATTACCTGCGAATCACACAAACACTGGTCCCATGGGGGAATTGAGCGTAAAACCCTCGACGCTGAAACAATCAGAATACTAAAAATATCAGGCATTTATTTACGTTATAAATATATCAATTTTGTTTTATTTGTATCCGTTCCTATGCTGTTCATCAACTTTGTTCATAATTTATTTATTGTAAAGAGGCTCGTGGAGGTGGGGAATTGTAAAAGAAAATTAAGAGGCTCTCGCTAGGCTTTATTTGGCAATGTTCAGAGAGTGGTCACAATAAATATATCCATAATCGAATAATTTATTAATACACCACTAGGATTGGAACTCTTCTTTCGTTTTGTTTCCCATTACCTGTGGGTTCTTTTATTTAATCCATTTAGAATTTACTTTTTAGTAAAATATTTAAAAGTGAACAATTTTTTCCTTACTCTACACGTCTTAATGTGGAAGAGACTGGGAGCAACTACGGCATGAAAAAACCACGGAAGTAGGGGGCAACTAAGGAGAGCATAAAATAGAAGTTGGTACTTAAACTTTTACGTTTTGACCGACTAATAAATTAATATTCAACACTTCCACCACTATTTTTAAAATTATCACCACACACCTGCAACACCTATAATGTCACTAGTTAAATATATACCATTATAAATAATCAAAATAAGAAAACTGATACGTGTGAAATTCAGATAGCGACTTCTTCGCGACTTTCATCCATTCCAAATCCATTATCATTAAAACTTTACGCAACATGACGTATTACACCTGCTTACTTTCTTTTAATCATAATAATCGGACTGCAGATTATGCCGTAAAACTAAGCAACCAAGCATGATTACCGACGTTTTAAAATATCCAAATTTCAAATGAGAAGTGCTGCTTTCACCAGATTGGAGTCCTATTAATAGTAAAATTACATCACGGCCCAAACACACTACCACTGCAAGACTTCAAGATTAAGTTAGCACTTCTACGTAGATCGGAGACTAGGTTAATAAATACAAAAACTGATAGCCGGGGTCAAGTAAAATTAAAACGTCTCAGTCGGTCACGTCACTATGAATGCTGCAAAGTGTTGGAAAAGTAGACGTAGTAGTAGTTACGTCTGGTGAAATAAAAAAAAAATCGTAATAATAGTTTCTTTTAATTTGCGTAATTGTTAAAATAGTACGTACGAAAACAGAAATATTATAATTTATAACATGTTTATATAACATTTTATAATAAAAACATACTATAAAGCCATTCAGTTCTACGGCGACGAATTGGGGGATGTAACGATTTCATTAGGATTTGTCGTGACTGTTACAACATTGCTAGTGTTGGTAGACTCATTTCTATTACTATCTTGTATTTCCTTTTGAGTATTGTTTTCTCTTAATTTATCATCAGTTAGTACCGGTTTGTTCTTCGTTATACTGTTCTGAGTTGCATTCAATGTTTCGTTAACTTTATCGTTGTTCATTCTTCTACCATCGATCTCTTTAATTTCGACAATACCTGTATTGGTTTCAATAGTTGAGGACGTAGTATTGGGCTGCTTTACCGTTTCACAAGCTTTTTTCAAGAAAGACGGGCCTAAAACATTTTTATATATTAGTTTATTGTGTACATTAAGGCAGTGATGTTGCAATAAGTTTGAAAACCAAACAATTTATATACCGAAAAGAATTACTAATTATCAAAATGTTGTTTAAAAATCTCACCAACAAAAATATTGTTTAATCCGGGTATATGAACACTTCCATCACCAACGCCTAATTCTACATGAGTTTGACCAATATTGGAGATACCTGTTGCATCTAAGTTCAATGTTCCATTACCTATAATCAAGTATAAATGAATATTTTCATTTAATCAAACAATCGTCGTAAAGTTCTTGCATGAAAGGAATTTGCCAATACAGAAATAACATTACCCGTGTTTCCAAATTTAAGTTTAACATAAGCTTCACCAATTGCGCTGATGCCGTGTGCATTTAAATTTAAATCTACGTTTTTAGGTAAAGGCTCGCATTTAACAGTATCCGCATTATTAGAGTAATTGCTGTTTACATTATCGCCCTTTTTCTTTTTCTTATCACGTACCTCTTTAAGTTTCGTTTCTAACTGTAATTAAATTAAATTAATTTATGGATGTTGTTCGACAGACAATACATTACGTGATTTAATGTTTTGTTTAGCAATAAGATAATCAGTAACTTGTTAAAATCGTACCATGTCGAGCAATATGTCCTTTTGTTCCAAAAATGCCTCGTCGACGAGATCATTCCGACGTTTTGGATCTATAAGCGTTTTTATAGCGGGCACAGCGCTCGAGGCATTGGCTGCTGCATAACTCGGACAGACAAATGATAAACCGACCTTTTTAAATAAAATATTTATTGAATAATCATAGTTAAACGTTTAAGTGAAGATTATAAATACTGTTAATTTATTACTTAACATTAACATAAGGGATCACTAGCTAGAATTACATATGAAACGAGCTGAGTAGTTCATAAGGTAAGATATAATGAATAATTATTATGAAATAAATATTTTTTAAATAAATTAATAAATAATTTAGGACACATATTTACACAACGATCTCTAGTCCCATACTAATAAACATACTTTATATAACTGATAAACATACTTTTAACGTATTATTCATATATAAGCGAACATAGCGTTTTTCTAGTGTCGGACTAGAAAAACGCTATGTTCATCACACAATATTTTTCCAATAGTGGGGAACGAACCCACACCCTCTGGCGCAGGAGGCAGGTACACTACCCACTACGCCATTCGGGTTCGAGAGCTTAATTTATCAAATTCGTATACAGGATGAGGCAGTTGAAGAGAATCAGCAATCAAAAAAAGGAAATAGCAAACATAAACTGTTAATTCCGTATGTTTTTTGAAAAGAGACTAAATAAAAGGTTAAGTACTAACAGCTATAAGAATGAATAGGATAAAATTATGCATATATAAATATGAATATTTTTTTAAATTTTATCTTGAGTCTACACTCAAGATGAAATTTAAAATATATAAATAATAACCGATAAATTTTTCAAAAATATTTGGACGCTTCCAGGATTTGAACCTGCGTCGCGGTCTAACTCTGTGTCCTGGTAACACCAAAATCGAGGAAATATCTTTTTGCATATTGAAAATTACTTACAAGAATAGCGAGATGTAGATGAGTGAGTGCCATTCTTGCGTTGTGGTGTTACGAGCGAAATCGGAACCAATGAGCAGAGAGCATTTCGGATATTTTACGATCTGTTTCAGAAATTGACGTTTATAAATAAATACAATTTAAGTGAACTTTATCGCTCCAATGCAACGCGCACGTGGAACACGGTGTAACGCGTTCGGACGAAAATAGGAACGAATTTCGTTGCGACAGTTAAAAGTGTCGTAAAGCAGCTGCGGCCTCGACGCGACGAGTTCGTCGTCGGATGTCGCGATTGTAAATCTGCCTAATAATTGTATGCCTCACAGATTTTATGAAACGATCGTGCCATCAATAAAGTTATATGGGAAACCGCGGGAACGACTCGGATTGTTTTTACAGTTTGATAGTAAAATCAGTAAAATTTCATATGGCGATATTAATATTACAAAAAAACTTGCAACCGATTGATCCCGAGTCAAGGATTTGCTAAAGAAATACTCTGATATAATATTAAAAGAGAAAATAAACAAGTAACAATTTCTTTCTTTCTTTTCTTTTTTTTTTTTTTTTTTAAACATTGCCCTTACTTTAGGATAACGTTATCCTGTGTTGTAAGGACATTTTACAAACATAAATTTCACGCGGACAAACACCCAGATGCGAAACAACTATCTGTGGGCCACACAAATAGTTGTCCCGTGTGGGAATCGAACCCCCGACCCCCGACGCCGAAGCCAATACCTTGGCAACAACGCCACGGAGTCATCAAATATAATTTGATGACTCCGTGGCGTTGTTGCCAAGTTGATCAAATATAATTTCTAAACATAATTTTTTTACAAATTATATATTAAAAATTTTAATAATTATAAATTTAATAAATCAAAATATATTATAAATATATTATATATTAAATTAATATTTATACGAATGGTATGTCATATATAAAAGTTCGCATCGCTTCCAGTTAGAAGCTTCTAGAAGTCAAAAATTCAGCAATTTTTTTTTTTTTAAATAATAAATAAATAAATAAATATTTAGGACACATTTTTATACAACGTTCTCTAGTCCCAAACTAAGCAAAGCTTGTACTATGGGTACTAGGTAACTGATAAACATACTTAAACATACTTTTCTTTTGTAAATAAATACTATGTTCATCACACAATATTTTTCCAGTAGTGGGGATCGAACCCACACCCTCTGACGCAGAAGGCAGGTACACTACCCACTACGCCATTCGGGTCGTCAATTCCTGAAGCTATATTTATCAATATGAAACTTAACACAAATGACGACAAATACAATTTCCGAAATACAACGGGAGCAATGATTCCCCGTTTCAGACATGTTCCGAGTCAATGATCTCAACTGAACGAGTAAAATTTGATTCATCCTCGCCACTCAAACGAACATTTGCCATGAGTAGCTTCTGCAACATTTTATTGCCAAGCTAACTTTGGCCGATTTTATTACGCCTTAAAAGCTTAAAGCTGCCTATATTCAAAGCACTAGGAATTGTATTGTCGACCAACAATATGGTAAGTTAATATAAAAAGTTATTTCATCCTGTCTTAAGGAATTGGTGAAAGAGAAATGGACGACAATCTGGCTCTGTACATTCTTTCGAAATTATATTACGAAAGTACGACTATAAAATTCAAATCCCATAAACGGCTAAATTGATGTTGCAAAACGGCGGGATTTGATTTGTGTTGAATTTCAATCGAACATTTATTCTTATTGCTTGTATCATCAAACGATTTGTTCAGCGTCAATATTAGTGGTATTTTCTTTAATAATCGTATATTTTTTCTACTTTTTGGATAAAAAAATTTTGCGGATCACATTTGTTTTTTTTTTTTGGATTGTTTTCTTATATAGATGGTGCTGGGGAACTTATTTATATGGCTAGTTGGCTGCTTGGCCAGTGGCGCCCTTTCCAGGGAGCTAAAATCTGCCAAGCCCATGCCAGCTATAAGCAATTCACTCGTTAACTTTGGCAAAATGGACATCTCCTTTTACTTAAACGATAAATTTAAAGGTAAGCTCGTTTTGAATTCCTATAAGAGGTGGAGGATTATTCTATACTAAAGTAAAGTAAAGTTAAGAATTCGATTACAGTACGGAACAAGCGTTTGAATGACCTACGCATAATTGTTTTGGGGCTGGGTGTATTTGTGTTAGCGAAAATTATGTGTGTGAGCCGTGATAGCTCAGTGTGGGGACGCTCACTTTTTAATTCAATGTACTGGCAACCTGGGTTCAAATCCCACCAGTGAAATTGATAATTTTAAGTGCTGATTTGCTCACGTGCTCTGTGGTGAAGAAATAACGTCCTGAAGAGACCTGCATAGTTTCGCAATAATAACAAAAAAAAAATAATTCGAAATTATTTGAGTTCCACCATTAGGTACGCCATGTAGGGTACCTACATTGGCGTGGTGGAATATGCCCTGACACCCTATGTATAGAGGAGTCCTGTGCCCAGCAGTGGGACATATAGACACAGGCCGTTACTTTACTTTAAATGCACCTACGATACAGGATACTATCTATTGTTGGTCAACGTTAAAAAGGTTCAATTTGTAGTAGGGCTTCAAGGGTGAAAAGAAAACACCGCGTAAAGACTGTTGAATACAATCATGTTCATATACAGAAATATCTATTCTGTATTTTATTACTCTTTCTTATTGCCGTTGAGTTTAAAATAGCCGGGGTTGAACCCACGCACAAGAGCTTCTATTTTCATTATAGTTTTTGTACTAGGCAATGCGCTATATTAGCGCAATTGTAAACTGATTTATTTGAAAAAGAGCAACTGTTGAGTTTCTTGCCGGTCTCTTCTCAACAGAAACTGCTTTCCGAACCGGTGGTACCTTACGAACCTCTATGTATAATGTTTTATGTACAATTTGACGATTCGTAAGAACGCGCAAGCGTCTATTTGAATAAAGATTTTTAATTGATTGATTGACAGACGTGACCTTGAAACATAATATTCATAATCAACATAGAAGTCTCCTAAGATGTTTACTAATACTGAATTTTTATATAAAATAAAAATGTTACATTTTCTTTCAATGTACAATAAATTTAACAATTACCATTGTACTTTCTTAACTTTAAAGCATCACTTACGTTAACCGTTGTACCTTATGCTGTAATCCGTACTCAACTTAATATTGCAGACGTTCTTGCAAAACGAGGCTCTTTGGTGAATCCATCCAGTTCGTCATTCCCTTCTTCCATTCATGATTCAAAAATAGAAGAACCATGCCCTTGCTCCAGCCTCCGCAACTTAAAAGATCCATTTACCTCTCACCCATCCGAAACTCTAAACAAAATATTAATGAGCAATGACCTATTCTCGTTCAATAAAGAACTCATATCGTCCACGCTCTGCTGTGATTCTCACGAAGATGTACACGAGGAAGGCGTCTTCTTTGAGTTCTCACCTACACAAAATCAAATGCTCGCAAATCCCATGCAAGCTAATCAACTTCTAATGCCATCGTTAACAAAGATTCTAGAAAACGTTTTTCCCAGAAGACCACCAACGTTCCCAGCGGAAAGTATTAAGTCTCCAGCGATAGATATACTTTTGTTTCCTAAAAGGAAACCTATAACAGACGGAAACACCGATTTCTTTTTAAAAAAGAAAGCGGACATACATCCCGTTGGCGATAATGAGAAAAAACGAGAAATAGAATTCGTTAATTTAACACCGGCAAAAACAAACAACATTTCTGTGAAGAAGGATTTGGGTACAAACAAACCCAAGGAAGAAAAACCAACAGACATGGATAATAGTATTGTTAAAACTTCTACTAACAAATCTTAGTATGATTGAAATAAATCGTCAATTTAAATCAGGATATAGTTGTTTCATTTTCTCAAATCAACCTTTTTACATTATTCTCCACAATGAGATATTGTCTTAAGATGATCAACATCGGATTTCATTCTTCTCTCGTGTATTTATTTATGTTTATTACATTTTAGTTTATTTTGGTGCTATGAAGTAAGTTTATCAAGCACATTATTTATTACTTTAATTTTCCTTGGTTGTCTGGAATGGACCGCTCTTTAGCGAAAAGACCGCCTTATTATACTTTTATTACTAAGATTTATTTCGTCTTGATCTCATCTACTTTACATTAAATTTTGTCGTGTAAATAAGTATAGTACATATAATAATTATAATCATTTTAATCGTCAGCAAATCCAATTAGTTTCATTATATAGGGTATAACAATTCCCAACAGCTTGTCGCTCTGCCCGACTCTTGAGTCATCGTTTTTTGTTATTGTGTACCAAAAACTAAAGATTAAGTAAAACAGTACTAGTACTTTACGTACACAGTCAAGTAGGAGGTATATTGCTTCGAATGAAGAAGTTGGTCACTGAATTATCTTTACCTATAATGCTCATAATGCCTGTATTCTTTGGCACTCATTTTATACTACAAACGTATAAAATGAGTGCCAAACTATTAATAACTCACTCTATTATACTCATATCATATATATACGTACTCATTTTATATATATACTCATTTTATACTATAAACTTTTATACTACATACCCACGTCCTTCTGTTATGATGGCATATTTGTCGTTAAACAATAATGGAGCAATTCAGTACAGTAATATTCTGTTGTAGCGCAAAGATCAACATTAATGGCCCATACGAAAAATATTGCTAAAACATCCCTTTATTCTTGTAAAAAACGAACTTTTCGCGGATTGAATCCTTAATAACGTATAATAACAGTAAGACAGACTGCAGATTACGTAACTTTTGTACGTGAGGCAAATGCTAATTATTTTACCTCCATAGAATTTGTTTACAGGAAAGGTGAACGTTGAAAACAAGTCTCAAAGATAAAATAAGGAACGAGTAGATTGTAAGAACGAACCTGTTCACTTAAAAATGTGTATAGTCATTTCAAACTGTTCCTCATTATGTTAACACATGTGCCAATTACAAACGCGCGAAACATTTTACTTAAGGTAATCCATAAATGTTCTAGAGATGTTTTATTATTTTGAAAATGTTACCACAATTACAATAACACAGTGATTGTAATTTTGGTAACAATAACTCAATTATTGTAATTTTGGTAAACAATGCTTACATAACAGACGCAGTATTGACCCTAAACATTAAAAATGCTTTTGTAACATCTCATAAACTTTTTGAGTTGAGCACTTTTTACTAACCACAGCTAAGTTCTCTTATTGGATTGACCCTCTGAACGCTTATAATTTGAGCATATTAAAACTTGTCTTTTTTGTTTCCAAAGAACATTTCACTCGCTTTCGATTCATTTTGTGTGTTTCACTTCAATTACAATTCAGATGGTTAAAATGGATAGGGCGAAATGAATGTAACTGCTACAAGTGACACCATTGAAGAAGGGCAGTAGTTATCGACGACCCGAATGGCTTAGTGGGTAGTGTACCTGCCTCCTGCGCCAAAGGGTGTGGATTCGATCCTCACTACTGGAAAAATATTGTGGGATGAACATAGTGTTTTTCTAGTGTCTGGGTGTTTAGTGAACTACATGTCTACTAGACTAAGTGAACCAAGTTTTCTTGTTAATAAAAACTTCGTTTTGATAGCCTTAAGAAATTAAAAGTTGGCATTTGGCTAATTGGGAATGTGACCATCTGAGAAATTGAAATAGCATTGCAGCGTTTTTACGTAAAATTTAAACAGCTTCTAAAGAGTTAGTCATTTAAAGCTATATTGCACTCTTAATCGAACATGTCTTTCCCTTCCGCTGTACTCTATCAGCTGGCATTTCAATACTCACACTTTCACAGACATTTAACTCTTCATACGGTCCATTCAACTCTTTCTCGGCTTCCCTCTACCCTTACACGCACCAACCGCATTCATACTCAACGCTCTTCTAGTCAGATGTTAGCTCGGACTATGTCCTCTATAAAGAAGAATAAACTTAAAATATGTAGAAAAAGTACGAAAAGATTGTCGCCGCTGTGGGAATCGAACCCCTTCGGAATTCGTGACCTGACGCTTTACCCACTAAGCTGAACGCCTGATTGCGACCGACGAAAACCTTATCGTATTTTATCCACATTGTTTTTAGCCTTCGGTGGTAGGACCACGCAACAGTGTTCGCTGTTGCACGAATGGGCAGGTCCGTCCGGGTTAGTACCGCGACCTCACACAAGACCGGCGTAAAGTAGAAGTGTTGCACTTCTGCGTTTCGTCTGGTGAGTGAGGTAGCCGGGGCCCACATTATTAAGAGGTGGCAACGCATCTGCAACCCTACGGGTGTTGCAAATGTTAATGGGCGGCGGTTATCACTTAACATCAGGTGAACCGCCAGAGCGTTTGCCACTTTCTCAAAAAAAAAAAGCATTTAGACTTACTGCTTTTCTTTCCTCTGCTGCCTTTTCTTCTTGAACGCCCTTTTGACGCGCAGTAGCAGAAACGCGGCCCTGTCTATGGTCAATACAGAGGGCCGTTTGGTTGCGCCCGGCTCTTCCATGCCCACGTCCTCATCTGCCGGCTCATCGCACAACTTCAGGCCAAGCCATCGTTGCTTCGTGGCAGTCCTCGTCTTTGAATTGTCCCAGCCACACGAGAGCCTTTTATGTTTGACTATATGTCTATTGCTATTCAGTTATAGCTTTGTCAAATTCGAGAGGCTGTGAACTTCGTATTGCTCAGTGGAATCGAGTATACATTGTTTATTGCAGCGCTGTATTTGCTTGCTCCTATTGGCGAACTTTGAATTGCAAATCTTCCACTCGCGTGTAACCTGAAGCAAATAGAAAATACTTGAGGTGGGATGTTGGAAGAATGAAAAAATGAACCTAAAATATAACCCAATGTAACAAAATTATTTCATCCATTATATTGACATGAATGTAAATTTAAATGTAAAACTGTATTATTTTTACTTTAATAAAGAGACAATTTAATTTTGCATAATATATTTTCTCCAGTTTCAAATATTTTGAGCAGATACGTTTTATACGATATGAATGAATTCAGGACTATTTAACATTAATGGTTATTTGATTTTTTATTACTTTAGTTCTAGACATGCATGCCGGAACTATGAAAAGAAAAAATCAAGTTATAAAAAATAAAAAGTAATTAGTTCAGTAAAAAATTAAAATTTGTAGAAAAATGGACGAAGGGTAAATTAACTTAGCAGCGTTTTACTAGCGATTAATTAAACTTAAAATAAATTAAATTTTAAATTAATTAAAATAGTTTTACTGATAGAGTAACATAACTAGTTTCTTTTAACATGACTTAAAATAAAAATAAAACACTCGCTTATTATCTACGTTATACAATATTGTAAATCGTTAAGTCTGACCTCACTCCGTCTCCTCTCAGGAGCAACGTTTAATAAAGTCTGCGGTTTTAAGATACGATACAGAATAATATTAAGAAATTATTACCCACTACAAGAAGATTAAATAAATTAACATCTAGAAAAATGGTTAGACCGGATAGGGTGAACAGAAATATAGTGTAAGTTAACGTTTTACCTTTAACATGACAAAAACATACACTGTTGTACGCTATATTATGGCAGAGATTTTTTTGTTGAAGGGGCGTACAAAATTTCTGACCACATACATGTCATAATCGACGTCCGCCCCTGGGCTGAAACTTTTAGTCACTTTTGCAACAATATTAACAATAACAATAACACAATTATTGTTGGTATATTACATTAATTTTTGGATGCAAATATAAATTTTCCGGTTGTTTTTTTTTAAATGATTTTACATTTAACTCTCCATCCACCTTGAAATGTGCTTAGAAATTAAAGCGTGTTAATATTTTTCGTTTTAATATTATTACTATTATTTCTAAAACGGTGCGATGGTAACGAAATATTTACTCCTGAAAGAATTCCTTATTACTTTAATGTTTTCTAGTCATTGGTATAAAAAATGAGGATTATTATATTATAATTAATAGAAGTATTTGCCTCTTGTTTACCAAAGATTTTTTTATATGAAAACTCTTTTCTCTACAAAGGGCTATCTAGTATTTCTTCGTACTACGGAAATTAAACACTATAATAGTATAGGATATAATAGGATATTTATACATTCAACCTTACGAACAGATATATTATATTTTTACCTTTTCTGCTAATTTGTTATCCTTACCTAAAAACCTGTGAAAAGTGATCCGGCTTGTTTTTTTTTAGTAGCTTTTGTGTATTTACCATCACATTTACGTCAGAATTTGCGGGGCGATGTAGAATTTTTTTTTTGATTATCATAAACATTTTTAGTTTTCCGCCAATAGACAATGACAATTATCATCATAGTCTCTGCGTTTTTTTGTTTTTTTTTTTATTTATTTTTTATGTAAAAAGTTGCCAAGCGGACAGGTAGTTCACCTGATGTTAAGTTAATACCACCGCCCATGGACATCTGCTACAGCCAAGGGTTTGCAGATGCGTTGACAACCTTTTGAAAATTGGGCTCCGGCTACCTCACTCACCAGACGAAACGCGAAAGTATTTGTCATACTTCCACTTTACGCCGGTCTTCTGTGAGGTCGTGGTACTACCCGGACGAGCCTGCCCCTCCGTGCAACAGCCGAGGCTGCTGCGTGGCCCTACCACCGATAAAATTCCAAAAACATAAGCAACTTCAAGGCATCTTTTGCCTAGAAGTTTTTTGGATTGCCATCCATGAGCACTGGCAAAACACATTTCAGGCGTGTTGCCAGATGAATGAACGAGCATGCTATCTCACTCACGGGAAGAAATGCAATCATGAATACTTTTACTTTTCCGTGAGACTGCTCGAAATAGGCCAGTTTAATATGCGAAGTAAGTATATCAGAAGTGAACAAAAACCAAGCGTGCTGTAAAATATTTACAAACAAAACTATACAGATTCGAGGTTTGCCATGAGACAATCGTGCCATTAAACAATATATTTAAACGGCGGATATTCAAATTTAAATTGAATGATATTCTTCAGAACAGATTTAACTGCAAACGAACCTTTGTACAATGTTCAGCTTCGGAATACGGTATAGAATAGACACGAGTATCTTTCTGTTTGCTTGCATACAAATGGCCCCATTATGATATCGCCCATTGTAGAGAAAAGAGTTTAACGTGGGATGAAAACAGCAAGTGAATACGTTAATGAGCAGCGGCGTAGACGCCGGTCCGAAATCATGTGTTCAAATCCCAGTCACGTGTCATAATAATTTCTCAACAATATATGGACAAAATATTCTATCTTTTCAATAATAATTACCACAAGCCTGTGGTAGTCCACTGCTGGACATAAACTCTGCTTGGCACACCAAAAACGATAAAATAGTACAAGGTTTAATCTGGTAGCTGATATCGTAACGCAACAAGTTTAATCATATTTGAGTCAGCAGGCCACCCATAATTGTTAATCAGCAAATATGATTATCTTTTCAAATTAATGACACATGTAAAGAGACTGGTTTAAGGCAACGTATAGTTTTGTTTCTAATGCATACCGTGGAAAACCAGGAATAGACTCGTCATTGATAAAAATCTGTCATGAATGGACATCCAAAACACTGAAGCTGCAAAACCCCTGACGAGCTTTTAAATGTGTGCTCAGCAAACGAAATGAAGAAAGTCATTTCCTGGGCGAACTCTTCCAAAGAATATTCATCCGCTCCGGCATAGAACCAAATGGTTATTATTATTATATAATAATGTAATAATATAATAATAATAACCATTTTTTCAACGGGTATAAGATAGGATCTTATGAAAATGGAGTAATATTTACTTGTGAAATCCGGCAAGCTCATTCTATCCTGAAATCCCAAGATGAAGGAGCTTGGCACGTTGCAATTTGAAACTAGAATTAAGACAACCGATAAACTTGATACTATAATTGATATTATTTTGTAGTAAAATTGACCTTTTTCTATTTTTCTCTTCATCTACATCATATTTTCAGCCTGTTCTAGTATACTACTGAACTTAGGACGCCCAACAGACTCTCACGACACACGAGTCTGAGCCATCTGCATTCGGCCCGACTTCCCGCACTTTTGGGCAGGTCGTCAACCCATCTAGTGGATGGTCGTCTTACACTGCAATGACAAATACAAGACTGGTCTTAAATGACCGAAACTGAGCTAGTGGCTTCCATCAAAAAATTTAAGGCCCAAATTCAAATGAGATGAATCAAAGAGACGAATGCAAAGAGAATGTTAGAAATCGAAAACGCGCGCGCTAGGGTGGTTGTTCTGACAATGCAATGCGTGTGCAGAGCTCGGCCGGATGATTTTGAGCGCCTTTCTTCTCGAGTAGAATACTGATATTCGTCGTCATCACCCTTTATCGATTAACTGCTGGATAACTATCTTCCTTGATGCCATTCACAGTATGTCGACCTGCGCTATTTATAAAAAAAATTAACTTGATCACAAAATAAAAACACCAGAACGTAAGGCTGAGAGCCGCTATCTCTATCTCCCTCTCTCCTTGTACTAAAGGCACGAGATAGAATCATAACTTTAAACTAAAAGAACTATCACGTATACAAACTCTGTGAAAACGTCAAAACTAAACAAATTCCACTAGAGCAGTTGTCGAGCAAAGTATCGTGTCGTCCTGAGTAATTTGCCGAGGCATAACTTCGCTTGTTATCTTAATTAACATACTCCAAGTGATTAAACGCAACCGTCGCTTGGAGTTCACTCCAGTGATTTATTATAAAAGTTCAATATGAGAATGCTCCTACAAAGTTGATTAAATTTGCGTGATAGATTCCTTTAAAAAGGTCATCGGGAAATGTCGGTCCTCTTATGTAAGATACTGGGTTACGCCTTATATAGTACTTTCAGTGTTTTTATTTATTTTAAACGCAAATTATAATTGGTCTCAAGTCTCATAAACTTAGCACCAATCTTAACAATTTATACCTTTTAATTCAACCTATACCTTTGCAAATATTATTAATCTTCAAAAAAAAATGTTATTTAAAATACTTTAGCCATATTTCAATATACGAGCATTGCTTCAAATGCTAAGAAAACAATGTGGAAGAATGCGTTGCTGTCAACAATTAAGAAAACAATGTGGAAGAATGCGTTAAGATTTTCGTCGGTGTGGCAATCAGCCGTTTAGCTCAGTGACTAGAGCGTCAAGCCGCGAATGCCGAAGACGTGGGTTCGATTCCCACAACGGCGACAATCTTTTCGCACTTTTTCTACATATTTTAATGTTCAATCTTAAGTGCAAAGATTAGCACTATAAACAATTTAAATTTCTAAAAAAGCAATGGCGACATCTCTCGTTCGAATTATCGTTGTAAAACGATATTCGAAATTGTTTGTATGCTGGAAAGGATATGACAATAGATGGCGCCAAGCATTGCTTCAAATGCTAAGAAAACAATGTGGAAGAATGCGTTAAGATTTTCGTCGGTGTGGCAATCAGCCGTTTAGCTCAGTGACTAGAGCGTCAGGCCGCGAATGCCGAAGACGTGGGTTCGATTCCCACAACGGCGACAATCTTTTCGCACTTTTTCTACATATTTTAATGTTCAATCTTAAGTGCAAAGATTAGCACTATAAACAATTTAAATTTCTAAAAAAGCAATGGCGACATCTCTCGTTCGAATTATCGTTGTAAAACGATATTCGAAATTGTTTGTATGCTGGAAAGGATATGACAATAGATGGCGCCAAGCATTGCTTCAAATGCTAAGAAAACAATGTGGAAGAATGCGTTAAGATTTTCGTCGGTGTGGCAATCAGCCGTTTAGCTCAGTGCTAGAGCGTCAGGCCGCGAATGCCGAAGACGTGGGTTCGATTCCCACAACGGCGACAATCTTTTCGCACTTTTTCTACATATTTTAATGTTCAATCTTAAGTGCAAAGATTAGCACTATAAACAATTTAAATTTCTAAAAAAGCAATGGCGACATCTCTCGTTCGAATTATCGTTGTAAAACGATATTCGAAATTGTTTGTATGCTGGAAAGGATATGACAATAGATGGCGCCAAGCATTGCTTCAAATGCTAAGAAAACAATGTGGAAGAATGCGTTAAGATTTTCGTCGGTGTGGCAATCAGCCGTTTAGCTCAGTGACTAGAGCGTCAGGCCGCGAATGCCGAAGACGTGGGTTCGATTCCCACAACGGCGACAATCTTTTCGCACTTTTTCTACATATTTTAATGTTCAATCTTAAGTGCAAAGATTAGCACTATAAACAATTTAAATTTCTAAAAAAGCAATGGCGACATCTCTCGTTCGAATTATCGTTGTAAAACGATATTCGAAATTGTTTGTATGCTGGAAAGGATATGACAATAGATGGCGCCAAGCATTGCTTCAAATGCTAAGAAAACAATGTGGAAGAATGCGTTAAGATTTTCGTCGGTGTGGCAATCAGCCGTTTAGCTCAGTGACTAGAGCGTCAGGCCGCGAATGCCGAAGACGTGGGTTCGATTCCCACAACGGCGACAATCTTTTCGCACTTTTTCTACATATTTTAATGTTCAATCTTAAGTGCAAAGATTAGCACTATAAACAATTTAAATTTTTAATTTCTCCTCCTCGTTTTTCAATAATTTTTTCTTTATTTTGTATAGCTTTTTCAGTTAAATGTTTATATAAGTACTTGGTGCGCCTAACGTGTTCTTTGATTAACTCTTGGAAATATTGTTTTTCGAAGTTAACGGATGGATGTCTTGAGTCTGTATGTCCTAACAAGACTTCAAATGGTGTTAAACCTGTTGTAGAATGTATGGTGTGGTTATATGCCATAATTGCATATGTCATTATAAAAGATGAATCTATGTACTTATGATCATGTTTTCCTATTCTGTATATTTCTAATAAGGTGGAATGGAACCTTTCTATGAGTCCCATTGAATTATGATTGTTAGGAGTACCAATATGTAATTCTACTTTATAAAATGTTAATAGTTCTTTAAGTAAAGCGTTGTTGAATTCCGTTCCGGGGTCACAACTAAGTTTCTGCGGAACGCCATATAGTGAAAAATATTTGATAAGGGCTCTAACGACTTCGGGGGTCGATATGTTAGTTAATTCAAAGGCTTGTCCTAATTTACTGAATGCATCTATGATGGTTAAATAATAGTGGCCTTCTATTGAGAAGATGTCTATAAATATTTCCTCTAAGGGCTTACTTTGAGTTTGAGTTAATTGCAATTTAGGTTTTATTGGGTTTCGGTCATATTTCATAATTTTGCAAGTTTCACAAGAGTTTATAATACTAGCTACTGTTTGAGCCATGTTATGCCAAAAATATGAACGTTTAATATGGATTAGGGTTTCTTTAATACCGCGATGGCATGTTTTTCCTTCGTGATATTTCTGTACTATGTCTCTTTGTTCCGTTTCATTTTCTACAAAGACAACACGTTTTGTGCACTCTAAAAATTTAACAAGTTCTTTATTAAATAAAAATATAACTAACTGTGTAAATTGTTTGCGGTGTTCTTCATTTTCAAAATAGATAAAATATTTAGTTTTATTTCTAATGTATTCTTTTAAAAACTGTTTAACAAGATCGGGTTGATTTAAAGGTAAATGCACTTCTAATATTTTTTGCTTTTCTCGGGATAAATCCTTTACAGATAATCGGTCTATGTTCCAGCTAAATACTAAAATTTGATTTGGTTTAGTGTCGATTGCTTCCTGTAAAATGGGAATGCCTTGTGACTCAGTATCTTGCGCGGAATGTGCGGTTTCTAAGTCAGAATATTTTTCAGATGCTGTTAACGTGCTACTAGATGGGTAAGGTATTGAATATGGAGATTTTATTGAAAGTGTCTTTTCAGAATCGGAGTCAGTAATGGTGATAGCTTTTTCGGACTCTATTTCTGAAATAGACATTGGTTCGGGTGAGGGATGTCTAAATGTTTTCTTTTGTAATCGTTCTAACTCTTTTATTTCTTTCCTTAATTGTTGTATTTCTTTATTTATATTTTCACTTTTATCTATGTTAGGTATTGTGGAATAATTATCTCTTTTATCTAGGGTATTAATTTTAATACGCGACAGAGCGTCTGCGTTACAATTTTGTTTACCGCTCTT